GACATAGTACCTTGATGGCCTATGATGTCTATCTAGGATCCTGGAATCATCATTAAAACTCACTATTTGTACTTTAAGATTAACTTATTGATAAAAACTTTATCATTTGGCTAGTATACGTATTTTAAAATTCCATGTCCTAATGTAACAGAAGACTAAAATAAAGATCTCTTTCCTATTTCTTCTTCTTACCTCCCACAATATATGTATTAAGTGGTATGAGTTCATCAACCCTTCAAAAGCTGTCAGTATGCTTTACAGAGAGCCTCTATTTTCAGATTCTACCTCTCTATCACAAATGAAAAGATTATACTTTTACAAGTAATTTTACAGACAGGGATAGGACTGACTGTTCCTTAAAGTCAGAAAGAGGGACACCAAACCTTACAATCATTACAGTTTAGAGATATCAATTAATCCCCCAGTCTCTAGTTATATGTCCACTATTATATCCCATTGCAAGCTATAGATTTTGCGTAAAATAAAGAGATAATATAAGCCAAAAGTACAAATTTCTAATACCAAGATTTTAACAGCCACACACTTGTGCTGTACCTGTTGGGAACAGGCAGTACCAAGAAAAATGGCTCAGTCCCATCATGTAAAAATGTAGAGAAGTATTATTTATGACAGATATTACAGTGACCAGATGATGTAGATATGCTCCAAAAAAACTGTAAACCTTCAGGGCTGAATGGGTAAATCCTACACGTATCTGCACTCCACAGAATTTATATTACAGTATACTAAATGATAGAGTAAGAGTTTCAAGTGCAGCAACAAAGCTGTAAAATAGAGGGTATAATTGTAAAAAACACAAATGTCATGGGAAAAAATAGTGCACTTAAAAAAGCAAAAATTAAAGAAGGTTTATATAGTAAGTTAATCACACAAATGTGATGATATATCCTATCACATGACTGAGCTTAAGCCTATCTAAATTACAAAGGAAGGGGAAAGGCCTCCTACCTATCACTCTCCTGACTCACTTGTAAGTGGGAATGTGCATTTTGGCCTTTCATTCTCTTACAGCCAGTAGTAAACGTCAGTAGTGGTATCAATCTCATGGAAAAAGGAAGGATTGGAGGAGGAAAGATGCAAGGGTTTGCAACTGCATTTATAGGTGTACGTCAAATAGACAAAGGAGAAACATAGAGCTTAGGTTTATATCACTCGTATTTCTCCCTCTAAAATAACAGTAACATCAGTAATGCAGGCTGATAAAAAGAAAAAAAATCTTGTAAACAGGAGAAAATATGTAAACAGTTTAATTATAGCAATACTTGTCTACCTAATGTCACTTAACTTTTAAAATTAAGTATTAAAACTTGTACCTTTACAAAGTACTACAGAGGAAAAGCAAATGTGATTTATATGACATTCATGGTGCTATTCATCACTTTGGAGAGGAAATGCCCACTTGAAGCTTACTGTAGAAAAGTAAAATTGATTTCCCCTTTCTGGTAAACAGAAGTAAAACTATATTCTTCCAGCTCCAAGGGCATCAGCAGAACAGTTTCACCACTGTAGCCATATCTCTGTCAGTGTTCTGTTATAAACAAAGCTGACAAAGTTCATGAGGAGCTAACTCAGTCTAAAAGTACAGAAAGATTGAGTTCTTTTCAGTGACAGGCAGACAGAAGGGGGTGGGAGGGGGGAAAGTTATTTGAAACATCCCTAATTCTATTGCTTCTTTGGTTCTTTCTTCCTTAGGAAGTTTGCAGTGCATGAATTTTTAATGTGAACAAAGGTCCAAGGAAGTTCTGTTGCAAAAATAAACAAGATATTTATGACAATAACATTGACAGATGTATATCTTCCTGGAACAAAGAACTAAAGAAAAAAACCACTTCCAACGCAGAGATTTCTGCTGCATCCGTGGCAACTCAGTACAACATGACATGTGACAGTTCTGAAGGAACTGTTTTCTTCCACTATATAAGACTTTTTAGGGACTATCCTCTTCTTGAGAATCATAAAATAAGTAGTTTCACGAATACTGGATTTTTCAAAAAACAATTCACCAAAAGCCAGAACTGCCATATAAAGCAGTTGTGATCCCATGTGAACGGAGGCAAAGTGCGTCATTAAAAGGAAGACATAATACAAGCCAGATTTCCTGCCCAGCTTCCTCTGACCTCTGTTGGCACAGCTATTTTCCTCTTGCAGTAAAAAGTGTGCCTAGAAATTGCTCTGCCCACTAAGCAAGCTCTGTCAGGGGAACACAACTGACATGACATGCTTGTACAGCGGGAAGGATCACATTAGGTATGCTCATCAACACACATACTTGACCATTCTCTAATTGTAATGACTTATAAGGAGTCCACCAAGCCAGTTGTAAAATCTCAATCCAACAGCAACCCAGCATTAAGTATTGCTTAAATCTTGCTTAATTACCTAATTAATCTTTAATATAAAAAATCATCTTGTCACAACTAAAATACTATAGAAAACTGAATGAGCTTAAGCCTGATATGCTACTATATCCATGCAACAGGATTCGCTGTGAATTTATTACACCTTAACACTAGATTTCCTGACTTCCATTCACTTTAAATAAGCTCTTTCCTGTTATCCTAATCTAACATCTAGCCAGAAAAACCATACCTGAATGGTTATTTTCTATTGAAAATAGTGATTACATAGTGATATATCAAAACAAACATTAGTTGTTCTCTAATACTCTCCCATTGGGTACTTAACTACTGACAGGTCTGAGATTACTGTTGGAACCTATTTTCGTGTGACAGCCGCAGTGCAGATACTTGTCGATACACTGGAGCTGAATGCTAATCAGTACTACAGTCTGGGAACAACTGCCAGCTATGTCACTTATCACTAGAATGAACAAAAAGGCATTAATTCTCTTCTCACATGCTTTGTGCTTCCTGTTGGAAAGGCTAGAAACCACTATGAAATATTAGGAGGGATAAAATAATTATAAACCAATAGGAATTTCAAGGGTTAATGATCAAAACAGTTCCAATAACTCACTTACGGAACTTACTACTCTTTTTCATACATAAAAATTTAATGCTGCTCAAAAGAGATCTTGATTATTTGGATGAAAACTGAATTAAGCACACATTATGAAAAAAATGCATTAAAAGATGTAATGCGTGATAGGAGCAGGACACAAAACATACATTTCCCTTAGTTTGTATATTTGGCTATCACAGAACAACCTTCTAATAAAAGAAGTATTTTTGGTATTAGTGTATATTCTTTATTTTAGTATATGTATTACTCTCACCAAACAACTTTCTACAAAAATAAGTATTTTTAGCTATTAAAAACTGACTTGAAGTGTATATGCTACACTTTGCATATAGCATATGCTATATGCTACTTTGATAATTTAAAATTCATGGAACAGATGCAAAGTAGGTGCTTCTCTGACACTAACTGAACAGCATGATCAAATAGTATTTCCTGTAAATAAAAGCACCTTTTCCTTTTTCTCCAAATAATGATCATCAGGGTATCCTCATAATTAAAAAACAAAACAAAAAAACCCAAACAGTGGGAAAGACAACATAGAAGAAAAATATTAAGAATACTTTTAAAAAAAGAGCTGTGTGCTTAACATTTTCAAAACCTTCTAATTAAATAAACAAAATACTAAAATTAAGAGAGAGAATAAAGGCTGAGCAGAATGTTCATAAAACATCCCTGGCTGTTGGCAAAGATTTTATCTTTGTCATTTAATGATGATGAAGCCAAATAACTTGCTGGAATGGAAGCAGGCTAATGAAGAAGGCTTTCAAATTGAAGCAAGGGATATTGCAATTTCTATTTTTCTTAGTAACAGCTCTATGTGTACAATTTCTAAATTTCATTACTTTCTGTAATAGATGTCCCTTTCAACAGATAGTCATGTGTTGATCAAAGATCTATTGCTCTAATATGCTTGCATTCTGTTTTATGTCCAACTGTTTGTTCATACAGCCAGCAAGTTCTAAGCAGTTCACAAAGTATCAGAGGATCAGTAATTAATAACAATGTTAACTTCCAGGGGAAATCAGCTTGTTGTGAAGAAAACTTCTCTGTTATTTGATCTAATTTGTGCAAGACTGATAGAAGCATTCAGCTAACTTAAATAAGCAGATTATGTGTTAAAAACTGTTAGCACATACTTAATATTTGCATTATTTGAACACAAAGAACATTAATGGTACATCAAAAAATGAATAAGGTATTTATAAAGCATAAATCAGTTCTAAAAAGCTTGGTATGAAGTAACTTTAACAAATTTCATGAGGAAGGCAAAAAGATACACATCTTTTGTGGACATAATGAACTAGATATATTTTTTTCCACTTAAAAGAAATAAATGAGTGTAACTAAAACACTGCTAAAAGCACGGCTTATGCATTTAAAAATAAAACATTCAACTTACTTAGACGTGTTTAGTATGTTTTTAGAGATAATTTTACTTCATTCTTCATCAAGAAACTTTCATTTCAGGTCCTTTTTTTGTTTTCCTTTGTTTCTTTTTTTACATACACTATTTAAAGAATGCCCCTATACTACTGTCCACAAACATGTTTCAAAATTCTTAAAGTAAATAAACACAGAAGTCTGTCTGCCATTTCTAGCTTAATATCAAGGTAATTAAGCATGATTTTGGGATAATTCCATTATAATTTCTAAATGATCCAGGAAGTAAATACGTGTGTGCATATATACATAAACATACGTATACCAAGAGTTACTCTGTCTACAAACACACCAGCGTGTATCCTTGCTATTTATTAACTGAATCAAATAAAAAAATTTGCTTTCATCAGAGATTTAAAAAAGACAACAAAACAAATCAAAAGAAGAAAAATGTTTTCCATTCAATTTACCAATTTCTAACAAGAGTTAGATATCTATGGTTATGGGTGTATATATGTGAATGAACGAATAAATCCTTAACCCACCATATCTTTTTCTCCAGTTTGCAAGCTGTCACCCGTGAAAAGTATGGTGTAGATGGTAGGATGATACTGTACCTGATTGGCTCTGGAGGTGGTCATGGGATCAGATGGAGAGGACTTGGTGGTAGTTGGGGAAGATGGCAATGTCTGGGAACAAAGCAGTTCAGGAGCAAATCAACCTTTACAAGCCTTAGACTGAACAGTTAAAAAAATAAATAAAACAACAAAAGTAACATAACTAGAAAATTAAAATAAATAAAAAATGCCTAAGACAAAATCTTTCTCCTACTCATTGGAACTTAATGGAATTTAAAGTCAACTGGATAAATAATGCATGTAAATATGCATGCTTATGCATGTAAAAACAAACTCATGACTTGAAATCAAGATGGTGAACTCATATAAATACTCAAAAATATGCTGACCACATGAGGAATTCTTTTCTCTCTCCTTCTCTTGGGGAAAATGAAGACTATAGTAAACTAAAATTCCAGCAAGTTCAATGAGTGCACTAGAAATAGTTATCAGTCTACAAACAAAGAAGGTCAATGTCTGAAAGAAGTTAGAAACATTTACTTTGGCACCTTATACTGTACCATTCTATAGCATGGACTATAGTCAGCAAACTGTGTTCCATATCTTACAAGAATTACACTGATGCTACTGACTTTTTAGCAATATGCTAACTGCTAAAATATTTTTAATCAAGAAACAGGTGAAAAAATGTAAACATCAATCTCATGATGGATGAACATGCAACTAACACCTTCACAACAAATCACTACAATATATTCATGATTAGTGTTAAAACTGTTCATTTAGTTGAGCAAAGAGTAACAATTTATCATCAGGGCTGTGTTCAAATAAACACAAAAAAGAATTAAGAGTCATATTTATTGATCAACTTTTCTAAATAATATACATACGCTTAACATTAATTCTTAAACATATCAAAAAGCACTGCTCTGTTTAAAAACTTTATGTACACATTTCTCTTAAAGTATTAGATCTCAACAGAATAACTCTTTTTATAAATGTAGTGAAAATGTAAAACTCCAATTTTCAAAACATAACATACAATACTTATTCAAAGCATGTTTTTTGACATATATAAAATTTTATGAATTATAAAATATCCAAAATTACACTACTTTTACTTTAAGAAATAAGATATTAAAATGCTATACAATGTGATTTATCATATGGTCATATAACTACTAACCAGCACTATTTTGAAATAAATGAAGCAAAATTTCACACTTTCAGCAATTCTGTTACTTACAATCATTGACAGTCCCTCATAAAATAGGTATACATACTTTTGCACTAAAACTCTTAATGCATATGAGAATGCTGCGACACTGTGAATGCATAAAGTTGTGTATTAGCAAAATATGGGCTTGTACATATGCACACACAAATACTTTAGCTGTATGTTAAGCAATACGAAGATCAATTTTTTCATAGTTTGTACATAAACAAGCAGCCAAAGCAGGAAAAAAAAATCTTAAGAAACAGATCCTTATTTTGTGTTTCCAACTTGTAACTCATGTTATAAAACAAAAACATAAATAGAACATATACAGCTTAAGCACCAACTGGGACTCTTTCAAGAGGCTTAAATCAAAAACTACTACCATTTATAGGGCATTATGAAAAATACGTAGCTTGGCAAAATTTTGTTAGTCAGCAGATGCTATACATTGTGAAAAATCAAGACAATTACAAAAGATTGCCCCATGTCTTCCTATACAGAACATGGGTTCATTTGGAAGGGTGTAGAATTATCTAGAAAAAGCTGTCAGATTCCACGATAGTACTATTCAATTATAGAATTATACTTCTGATTTTAATGGGATGATGCATTGTCTCTCTTACCAAAGTCTGAAATCGCAATGAACTGATTTTCACCATTTAAGCTTAAACTAATGTGTGGGGGGAGAGAATCTGCAATTAAACAGAACGGAGAGCCGGAACTTATTCTGATAGATTTTCTTTATTACTCTATTATAGCTACATATTAAACTCTCCTTCTGAACTAAAAAAAAAAAAAAACAAAACAAAAAACAAACAAACCCAGAAACCAAAAAAGCCAAAACAATGTTACTGTTCTCCAGCAAATCTCTGAAAATATATTTTGACTAAAACATTTCAGACATCTGATAGTTTGTGTGATCAACACCCCTGCTAACTAGAGCATACTGTGTTCTGTATTGTTTTGGTATGCTAAGCTAATTAATAAGAGGATAAATAGTACTTCAGAGATTTTACTAGATCTAACTACTGGATTTATGAGAAACATAGAACTCCTCAACACTGAATAATGACCTAGTCACTGATACCACAAGTAATATAAGAAACTGGAAGCACCTCAATTTTCAATTCATATTAATCTTCCTAAAGCACAGACATGTATGGCTGCAATGAAAAAGGAGTGACGATAATAATTTCAGGTGACTGTTGAACTATAACATCTACTAAATAGAAGCATGTCACTATTCCATTTTTGCAAAAGCTTGTTTAAAATACAATGGGAAAAGGTAAAAACATTTAAAAGCAAATCAACTGTATTAACAAAGAAGAATCAAGTACGGGCATACATTTTTCCAATATACATACCATTGAAAAAAAAAGATTAAAAATAGCAATAAAGTCTTTTGGTTTGTGTTTTTCGTGTTTTTTCCTTTGCATATCAAGTTGTTTATTTTGAGGTTCAATCTCTCTTATTTGTTTACTGACATAACTGCTTTCTTTTTTTAATATATGTTTATACATATATATAAAATAATATATATAAATCTATAAAAGAACAGATAGAATTTTGTAAAAATTAATCCCTTTTCATGCTTCTGCATAGTTATGGAGACACACCTATTTATCTCTTGAATACTGAAGTAACACAAAGTAATTTCTCAAAAATAAAACAAAGAAACACAGGCATATAACATTTATGTTGGATGTCCACTGCCTGATATGGAATTTATTGATATACTCTCAATTACATAGCAAGAACTTTTAGGCAAAATTACTTCTCAAAGTTGGACAGAGCTCAGTAATTCTGATTTATTAAGCTGCAAAGAATAATTTCGTTTTTAAATTTGGCAAGTGTTTTGCATTAGGCAAGCACTTGAATTTAGTAGTTATTAGACTTCTGGGAATGAGATGTATAAAGTGATTAGAAATCGCAAGACGAATTTACATTACGGACTTCGAAACATGCATACTATAATTGAAGCTTTCCTGAAATTGCAGGTTGAGTGATGACAAGGTTATAGAAAAAAACCCTGTTGAAATTTCTACTACATACCACTTCTAAGACTCACAGAGGAGAGGGGGTAAGCTATATTTTGATCAGTATATTCCAAGCAATGATGAAACTGGTCTCCTCTATTATATTATTTCCTTTCCTATTACTTATGAGACAGTGAATGGGAAATTATATTTGCAGGTAAGAGAACACTGCTTGTTTTAATTTTAAGCTTCTAAACCAGATGTTTGAGGAAACAGATTTTAAGTAATAAAAAAGATTAATTTTAGAAATAAAAATCTGTTTGAGCCACATCTGAGTCACAGTATTTTCTGAAAGTCCAAGAAAATATTTCTTCCTTTTGTTGCCCACAAGAATTGATTGTAGTGTGCTCTCAGGCTGCACAACGTACTAAAGGGTGCAGAAAGATGGTCAAAGCATCACAAAGTTCCATGCTTCAAATTTTTGAGTAACAGAGTGAAGATACAGCTCTATGACAGCAGTATAGAATACATATACTCCATCTGCACAGCATTCCGAAAGGTCTCTGACCTCAATTTTAATGACTTCATGAATTGCTTAATGCAGATCTATGTATAAATGACAAATATCACTACCTCACATATATGTCCTAAAATATTTCAATAATTACACCTCAGATAATAAATGTTGTACTGAGTTAACATTACTTAGTACCTATTACTCCATTTATATATACTAGAAAGAAAAGGCATAAAATGAAATACCATTTGAAAACAGGGGTAAGAACATGAAAGCATATAAGGAACATGATTTAAATGTGAAGATGAAACTACATTTGCAGCTTACCAATTCCTAGTTTCTCATTACCGTGCTTGCCAAAGAAAGGAAATCTTTGTAATGACAATACCCACATTAAATTACTATTAATACTAAGCTAATACTGAGTTTCAGTCTTGCATATATTAATACTGGTGCTTTAAGTGAATGAAATTAATGTGATGACAAAACTAATTTGCTTAAGCCGAGATTTTAATGCACTTTAAGAAAAGGTGGTATCTTCTTTGAATTGTATTAAATAGTTGACTACGTTCTGTAGCTAAAATGAGAAACAGAGAGGACTGCAAGGCCCCATTGTGCTGAACAAATTATAACAGACTGATTTACTAGACTTCCAACAGTATCAGAGATGAGCCTTTCTAAACAGACCACTTGCTTTGTTAAACATATTAGATCTTCTTTTCATCTGCTGTAAACTCCTTTAATCAGTAACTTTGGCAAATGATCCTAATCTCAGGGACAACTGTATAAATACATAACACATTTCGAAAATAAAATTTGGAAAAAGACATAATCAATGATTAATAATTTATTCACAAGCCTGATTGTGAAAATGCTACATTGATGACTTCACTGATCGAATTTTACTTCCTATCTTTTCATTTCTATGAAGAACAAAATAAATGGATTCTGGTGATATTTCATCCTCTTTGCATTTGGTTTTGCTTTTGCATAAAATAATATACAGAGCATAGGGCAAGACAAAAAGACTAAGAAAGCTAGCATAAATAGATGGAATGCTTACTTATAGGTGTTTATGAGGTAATTTATCTGCATTCATCAACTCTTGGAGACTTGTCTTTGGAAAAAGAAAAGGGTGGTAAGTATGATGTAAAGAAAAGATTATCTTGTGTTCTGTCTGGGGACAAGAAGGGGTAAAGAGCTTAAAGCAAACCAGCAGGTGCCACTTGGATCATCAGAGCAACTCTGGATGGAGGGAATGATAAGGGATGAAGACTACTGTAAAATAGACAAAGAAGAATCAAGACCTTCTCTTTCCTCAAAACTTGTGACAGTAACATAGAACTACTACAAGATCTGGTGCTGTTACAGAGAAATACCAGAAAACTCAAGCAAGTAA